TTTCAACAGGCACATTCGAGAGAAGGAATTTTCGTCAGGCGACTCCTGAAGACATTCGATCCAGCCGCTCGAGGGCAATTGGTCGGCAAACTGGACAAGACATGGAGCGGACCATACATAATCAACCAAAGAATCTCATCAGGAGCTTACAAACTCAAAACACACGTTAGAAAAGCACTTATGCGGACTTGGAGCGTAGATGATATGAAGAAATTTTTTCCTTAAAGAAAGTTTTTTTTTTTTTGTAAACATGAAAGGAAGCCATAGTCAATTGTAAATTTAAATCTATCAATAAAAATTCATCTTCTTAACTCTCTGATCGGCTCACTGGTCCCTCTGTCACTCGGGAGATTTGATCGGATTGATCGGACGACAAATCGATCTTTCGAAACTCAGAAAATGCGTTAGACAACTGTTTTTGTCAATCAAAGATATCGAGTCGGTAAATCAGGAGATAGAAATGACAAGTCAATCAAAGAACAAAGAGGTCAGCTACTCGACGAACAAGCAATCACAATAATTAATTTTATTTATCTCATTCGAAAGTTACAAAACATACATACCATAATAAGCATAAAAGGTACACTTCAGTTAAACTTTATGATAGCAAGGCCAAGGTCCGGTGCTAAAACTTAGTCAACAAGGCCCCGCCATGAACTCTAATTTTGCACTTGTCAGAGCGCCCATCCTCCTCAATCTCGTGGAGTTCCCAAATACTGTTTACGAGAAAGAGTTAAAATCGGGGAAGTGACGAAAAAAGGAATCATTGCCGCCCAACGACCCTTTTTCTTACACAAATTAAGGGCTGCCACGCAACAACCGTCGAACGGTTAAGGGAGCTGTCATTTGTATGAAAAAATCTTGCATGAACTTCAATAAAATCTTGCTAAGTCTAACTGATTAGACCCACCTAAAAAAATGACAAAAAGACACCAATAGCATCCTAATTACACCACCCTGTTATTTGTGTAGTCCTTCTGACGGTGTTATTGACGTTGTTCACGAGTGTTGTTGCGGTGTTATTATGGTATTATTGGAGTTGTTTTGCTGGGGTTACTGCAGTGTTACCATGATGTTATTTGTGTGGTCCTCCGAGCGGTGTTGTTGGCGCTGATTACCGGTGTTATTGCTGTGTTATTGTGGTGTTATTCGAGTTATTTTATGAGGTTATTGAAGCAGAACCGCGATATCAGTGGAATTGCAGTGTTATTGTGGTGTTATTGGAGTTGTTTTGCAATAACACCACAATAAGTGTATTTTTGTCATTTCTTAGATGAATCTAATCAGATACACGTGTCAAGATTTTATTGGAGCCCGGACTCAGAGCAGCGTCCGAACTCCGTATGCAAGATTATTTCCTTTTGTATAATGGAGTTATTATTGTTATATGAAAAAAAAATTCTGATTAGATTTTAATTATATGGGAGAGATTTTAATATTTGAACCATCTTCAAAATTTATTCAAATCTCGTTTTAGAAAGAATTGAATATAGTATGAATATCAATCAAAATAGGTTCGATAATGAGCCAAATCAAATTTGAAAATGAATATGGACTCGAACAAGAGTTGAGTATGGTTTGTTCAATTGCCTCCGGTTAATCTATGAGATCTACACTTTCTCATAATTTTAGAAATTTCTTGGCCTCTCCAATGAAATACATTGAAGGCATCCATAGGCTACTTAAATGAGGCGTTCTTCTTTGAATTAATATATATGGATATCAATGACCTTCATCTCTAATCAAGCACTTCATCTAATATAATGGTACATAATACAAAGGACATTGGGCAGCACCATATATGCATTCTTATTAGGAAATATAAAGCATAAATAAGCTATCAAAAATAAAAATCAAAGTTAGTGTAAAAAAGTTATTTTTTTTTATACTTTCAATGGAGTAAAATATTTTTTTTATTTGACCACCTAACTAAATTATTGGATTATTCAAGTATTGGAATCATGTTGCCCTTCCTCTACCAACTCCTAACTCATTTTCCTTGAAGTTACCAGCAATCTTGACATCAAAATTGAAGGAAAATAATTGCACCGCATTGTAGAGGGCCAGGAAATCATTGAAGCTAGATATGGAGACATGTGCTTTTTCTATAATAGTTCTATAGAATTCCTAGTTTATACACTTTTGGGGCATTGTTTTAAACTATTCTATTAATGCATAGCTTCCACATAGTTCAAGTCCAAAATGTGTCAGTGTTGATCCTAAAAAAATCTAACGATCTAGAAGGAATGAGCAGGATGAAGGAGGGTCCATTAACGGAAGAGTATGATCTATATTTGTTTGACTAAAGGAAGTTGTCGGAGCCAGGACAACATGACCAAAGCTGACCGAACCACGAGACGGACCAAAGACGGCCATAGGTTGCAAGAACGAGTTGCTCGATCATAAACGATACAAAAGGATATTTGAGACAACCACAACATAAAAAACAACATGAGGGAAGATTGATTCCCTAGAATCTCCAACCATCTTAGGGACACTCAGAAACTTCTCATCAGGGTTCAATGAACGAAAGTAATGTCGTATCAATTGGTTGACCCATATCGACCAAGCTCAGCCGACCGAACTAATCTTACCGAACCAAAACTGACTAAGGTCAGATGACCAAGGTAAAAAGTAGTCAAACGACAGGCTTTCTCCTGTAAAATAACAAAAATACACCAGCACGACCCCCTTTTAAGTAAGGGTAAAATGTAATATCATATTCTCGTGTCATCTTCTCTATAAGTAAGAGAAATATTTTATGAATAAGACACGATGGATTAATATTTATTTTCACTCTCACTCTCTCTATCTATCTCTTATTATTTAAGCTATATTTCTTAGGTGTGATTCACAAATAAATCATAATTTAACATAGAATGGAAAGAAATGAGCTAGTATACTCCATTTTCTTGGGCAAAAAATTAGTCTCCTATCTTCTCCTCCTTTCCATGTGCCTCTCCTATGGATCTTATCTTAGCATTAACTGTGTCGAAAAATATGTCAGTAGCAGGCACCTCATTGCGCTTCTCTTTCATTTCTCACTCTTTGTTATGACAATATTTTGTAGAAGAATGGTTAGAGTATCAAGCTTTTATTTCAACCTTATTTGAGGTAAAATGTAATATCATATTCTCGTGTCATTTTCTCTATAAATAAGAGAAATATTTTATGAATAAGACACGATGAATTAATATTTATTTTCACTCTCACTCTCTCTATCCATCTCTTATTATTTAAGCTATATTTCTTAGGTGTGATTCACAAATAAATCATAATTTAACATAGAATGGAAAGAAATGAGCTAGTATACTCCATTTTCTTGGGCAAAAAATTAGTCTCCTATCTTCTTCTCCTCCTTTCCATGTGCCTCTCCTATGGATCTTATCTTAGCATTAACTGTGTCGAAAAATATGTCACTAGCAGGCACCTCATTGCGCTTCTCTTTCATTTCTCACTCTTTGTTATGACAATATTTTGTAGAAGAATGGTTAGAGTATCAAGCTTTTATTTCAACCTTATTTGACTACTCTCTAGCCTATTTTGGCTACTTTGTAACCCTTGAAAAATGACAAAAGTTTCTTTAGTCCTCTATATAATGGAATGTATTGAGTTATTGCTGACCATGCTTCTACTACCATCTTTACTCTCTCCTTAAATGGAAATACTCACTTTATTTTTTATAAATCTAATCAAAATAGGCTGAGTAAAAATGTATATAACAAGGTTGTAGAAGTCCTTTTCATGAACTTCATGTACTAGTCTAAAATGGAAAATGACCAAATTTTATAGTTATCATAAAATTATTAAAAAATTTTATAATTAAATTCAAATAAAAATAGTCTATCCCATTTTCTCTTCATTATCATACGAATCCTTACCTTAACCTAATCATTTTTCTTTAGTGGCAAATACATACATAGCACCCAAGCCAAACATGGTTATTTACAAATCTAGTGCGCTCTTTCATCCACTTTTCAAATTCTCAATATTTTCTCGCTCAAATATCAAAATTAATGATAAAAACACAACCCATATTTTTCATTTTTATCAAATTCTTAATATTTTGATCGTAGCACGCATAAATAAATCAATTCTGTGGTTAAAAAATATCACGTGGTGCTAGTTTTTGTTTTCTCTTTATCCATTCTATCTCCTCTTCTTAAGAGAATCATCAATGAGATCATAAATATAAAGCAACCACTCAAACCCACAACCCATCCACCTGTCCATAAATAGTTTGTCTATTTATGCGGGTCATTTTAACTCGGGAATAGAAGTGCCAAAATATTCCACAAAATTTTTAAAATAAGGCTAAAATACTTCACAAAGAACACTTTTTGATAGTGTGTTTATTTTGATATTTCTATAAAGTCTTATATTAAAAAAAATTATTTTGTCAATAGATAATAAATCCTTAGTAGCTCAGGAGAGAGAAAAGTGATCATGATACTAGGGGTGTAAACGAACCGAACACGAACGAAGCACGCATAAATACATCAATTCTGTGGTTCAAAAATATCACCTGGTGCTAGTTTTTGCAAATAGCAATTTTTTCAGGTGCTATGAATTCTTTTTCTCTTTATCCATTCTATCTCCTCTTCTTAAGAGAATCATTAATGAGATCATAAATATAAAGCAACCACTCAAATCCACAACTCATCCACCTGTCCATAAATAGTCTGTCTATTTATGCGGGATCATTTTAACTCGGGAATAGAAGTGCCAAAATATTTCACAAAATTTTTAAAATAAGGCTAAAATAATTCACAAAGAACACTTTTTGATAGTGTGTTTATTTTGATATTTCTATAAAGTCTTATATTAAAAAAAATTATTTTGTCAATAGATAATAAATCCTTAGTAGCTCAGGAGAGAGAAAAGTGATCATGATACAACATGAGAGAGAGAGAGAGAGAGAGAGAGAATACAACATGAGAGAGAGAGAGAGAGAACAAATTGTGTCCATAAAATTCTCTTAATTATAAACCATCAAAGTATGTATCCATAAAATTCTCTTAATTATAAACCATCAAAGTACAGTAATCTTAATTCAATATGATCGAAGGGCAAAAATCAAGATGGAAAGAAAAATACAGTGAAAGAATCCTGCTTTTATGAACCCGACCTAGCTATCAAAAACCCTAATTTTATTGATCAAGGAAAGTGGCAGAGAAGTAGAATCAAATCCCAAAAAAGACCCCAACAAGCCTCCCCATCGCCCCTAATTGAAATTGAATTCACGGCGACGATTAAGCACGAGGATTTGTATTGGAAGAGGAGAACGAAGAGGACGACAATGGCGATTGCTGAGTGATGAACGGATGCTGAAGTAGCTGAACAGCCGTGAGGCGGCGAGCCGGCTCCTTCTGAAGACAACAAGCGATAAAATTCCTCAACTCCCTCGAGGCATTTGCCGGCGCTTCCGGCGGATTCGAGTAGCAGATTGCGCACATCAGACTCGCCCAATCCCCCTGCCTCCCAATATTCTCGCCGAATGGAAATTTTCCCAGGTAGAACTCCAGTATGCTGATCCCGAAACTCCAGATATCGCCGGCGTATCCATCATAGACACCATGATTCAGATCGGTGTTGATCCTCTCCGGACTCATATATGCTATCGTCCCCACCGACGAGTTGCAGGGATCCATTGTCCGCGCGAGGATTCTTCCGACCCCAAAATCCGCAATCTTGACCTGATGCGCGGAGTTTATGAGAAGATTTGATGGTTTGATGTCGCGATGAACGATTTTTTGGCGGTGGAGATAGGCGAGACCTGATAGAATCTGGCGGGCAACGTCAGCCAGAGATCGCTCCGACGATATCCGATGGCCATCTAGGGATCCCCCGTCCATGTATTCGAGGAGAATCTGGATCTCGCCGGCGTGATCGTACATGCCGTGGCATCGAACAACAAAGGGGTTATCGGCGGTTCGGAGGATCTCGATTTCGCGATAGATCTGGCGGCGAACGGATTCCTCGTGGTTGCCGTAGATGACTTTCATGGCGTAGATCTTGCCGGTGGGCCGGTGGCGGACCATGTAGACGGTGCCGCCGCCGGCCATGGCGGCGGCGGGGGCGCGGGCTTGGCGGACGCGTTCGATGTCGGAGAGGTTTGGGGTTAGGAGGAGTTGACCAGCGGAGGTTGGAGGGGTCGCCGTAGGGTTAGTTGAGGGTGGGGGGAGAGGGAGGGGGACGGCGAGGGAAGGATCGCGTTGGGGGAGAGGAAGGGTGAGGTCCGGCCGGCGGCGAGGACGGCCGGCCGGGGAAGGTGCCGGAGATCCGGCCGGCCTCATAACGAATGGCGGAACATATGAAGATGAGTCGAAAGGATTTGGAGGGAGAAGAAGGTGTCTTGGTGATGAGTATTCCAGCTAGTTGTGGGTAAGAGTCCAGCCGGTGGAAGCAAGTTTGGGAGTTTAGGGTTTAATTAAAGAGAGGAGAGAGGCTGAAATTTATAGAAAGGAAATGGAGAGTGATGGAGAAAATAAGTGATTTTGTGATGAAAATGGTCATTGATTTCAAACATTTAAATTGAGAGTGCCGTGTAAGGGTGTAATTTAGCCAACAAGTTAACACATGAGATGGCTAAGATTCAAAATAAGGCTTGATAAGTGGCTTGTGAAGTAATTTTGATGAGATAATGAATCAAGTTTAAGTCAGTCGCGAATTGATTTGTTTTAGCTTTTGAGATAGATCGTTTTAAAAAAATGATTATTATAAAATATACTCATATTTGATGTTTATCGGAAGGTCTGTGACTGTAGAGTGATAAATTATCATCTCAACATTGCATGAAAATCCAATACACACACGGGTAATTAAAGGGGAGTAAACAGAGCGAGACGCCTAAATTTTTATGTGGTTTAAAAAACCTTGGGGTTTAGCCTAGTTAACATAATACACAATGCAATTTTGAGTACATGAGTCTGTTATTCCTATTATTAGGAAAGATGGAATTACAAAGTTAATTATTATAAATATGCAATAGCAGTTCATTGATAATACACGTAATATGGTTGTAATGCATATAGTCTCGATGATAGCAAGCTGTAAGGGTCTTAGTCAATTGTTATGGAGACAACAGTCTGTCGTGAATGTTATAAATGTTGGACATAGCATTAGTTTGTTGTATAAGTCGTAGTTGAAAGTCATGGTAGTAGTAAGTCATGTGAGTCACTAATTGTTGCCTCCGGGCATTGGTTGGTATGTAGTAGGAAGCTACAAAAACTGTAAGCCACGTAGGTCGTAGTTGATCGCATAGACCACAGTGGTGAGTAGTAATAAGGTCAGTGGGCCACAAATATTGGAGTTGAGGGATGTGTAAGCTGTTGGTAGGGGTGTGCATTCCATCAGTTTGGATGGATGAATTTTAAAATTGGGCCAACCAATTTACACCGAAATCTAGAAACCAAACTACCGAACCAAGTAAGATAGAACTATGTAAAACACACTGTGTTTGATTGTTTTTTTGTTGTATGAATTTATTTTTCACTGTGTTTTGCATAATAAGAATTGGTTGCATGTAAAGCACTCAACAATAAAGAAGTTGTGAGAGAATTTTGGAAGGAATTGAGAAATTTTGTTGGGGTAATAACACATAATAGAATTTTGTTGGGGTAATAACATCAATCAGGCTAGTGTTGTAAAAATGAATGTTAAAAACAAAAGTATAAGAAAATGATACTTTTAATATTATATATATATTGAGTGTTATATAAGTAAATGTCAAAATTACATGGTTAGATATGCAAATAAAATAGTTTTTGATGCTAAACATATAAAGTTGTATTGTGCTAAAAAATTCTCAACTGTAGAGAGAAATTAAGTCTCATCTTAACAATAATATCTACCAGACAAATATATACAAATAATAAGAGATATTGATTTCTATGTGAAGAATCAAAGATGGAAAAAAAAATCAGAGTTTGTTCTAGTCAAAATAAACTATTTATATAAAATGATAAAGTTTCACTAATCTTTATAATTAAAGCTATGATTACATGGTTATGAACACTTACTTTTCATTTTATTGCTACATTATTAATCGAGTTACAATGATTTGAAATGAGTAAATTGGAGATAAAAAATATGTTACAACAACATCATCACCATAGTTGGCTACAAAAATCATCAGTGATGGTCTAAAATAATAATAGTTGGTGGTTGACTTTGAACTTTCTTTAATAGTATTAACTTTATAGCCGTGTTCCATGTCCCATTCAAAGAGTTTTGAGAAGAATGTTTGATGAAGTGTGTCAAAATCTAAAACACTCCATCCGACAATCAATCATGTCTTACCCTTGATTGTATATATTTCTTTTAGCATTTAGGTGTCCTTATGATCAGTCTTAGAGTTGAAAGCTTAGAAGTATGCCAAATTTTGAGGGCATTTCACACTTCAACTAATGATTTTAATCTTTCAATTATACTGCATGTTTCGTATCATTAGCTTCATTTTATTTGGCCATTTAGCCTGACTATAAACTTGCCGAAATTGATATACATATTATCCTCAATTTATCTTCAAAATTTTAGTTGTGATTAATCATGTTTCGTATCATTAGGTTCATTTTATTTGGCCATTTAACCTCACTATAGATTTGCCGAAATTGATATACATATTGTCCTCAATTTATCTTCAAAATTTTAGTTGTGATTAAAAAAAATCAATATTAATTTATATATATATATATAAAAGAGGATCAATGGTCAATGCATGATATTTTAATTATTTTTTTTTAAATATACTTTATTTTTCTACCAACTAAAATAAATTGACCGTTACATGCATGTGTTTTCAAACTGCCTTGTACTGTTTGACAAAACGCAAAGATTTTCCACCATGGAAGTCATGCATGTCAGCAGCTTCCTCGTAATTTACTTAGAAATTCTTGCGTTTGATTTTGGTTCGCAGTCAACAGACATGAATCTAACTATGTTATTAAATAAAAAATATAATTAATATTATATTATTATTATTAAATATTTAAATTTAGAGACATAATAATATATTATTTGATATGGAAGAGTTTAATAAAAATTAACTTTTAATTAATGAAAATATAATATTATAGAATCATTTCTTTAAATTTCAAGATTAAAAAAAAATCAAAAAAAATGAACGGTTGATAGCATTATGAAGATCTAAAGTGGATTATAGTATATTAATATTACAGTATTATCATTAATTGTATACCAAAAACCAATCACCAAGGCCAAGGAATGAGTCTTGCATGAGTTTATTAGTTCAGAAGATGGGGCACTTATTGACTTTCCGCGCCCTCACAACAGATGACCTATGTCAGTTACCAAGCTAACTTGCCAAACTCATATGACAGTCTGACCTGATAGACTCACACAGTGGACTAATCGATCGCACTTATCCCTCAAACTCGCCTCGTTAATGATATTCGGAATTAACGGAACAAAGAAAATCAAGAGCAACATCACATATTGACATATATCACATCATCGTTTCTAAGCAGCCTGACATCCACGCCGCTGTCTCTGCATTGAAACACGATGGACGAACTTCAGAACAATATCTCATATTTAATATTTTTCCTAAAACATGCATAAAAAGAGGAGAGGGAGGCAGGCAATCAATCATAACCATCTATCAATCGACTCTTGCTCTCATCCAGACCTTTTAGGAGAGATCTCACACTGTAACTCAAGGGATCGTTCTGACTTTGTTAGATCTTTCTCTCCGCCTCTTTTTGGGGGAAAAATCATCAGAAGAACATATAATTTGGACATGGAAAATATGCACAGCTTCCTCCGAGGTTGTTTCGACTCGCAAACATTATAGGACCCTACGAGCACTAATTTAGTCAATTTTGGAGCGATTTTGAGCTAAAATTTTGTATTTTATAAATGCCTTAGCTTTGTGATTCACATAAAAAAAATCAATCTTGACAAATAGAAGATTAAGAAAAAAATGACTTTGAAATAGTCCATGCGTTTGCATCATTACATTAGTTGAGGAATACTTTGTAATTCAAACTAAAGATGCTATTACTTTGACTTCAGAATCAGACTTCCAACTTCGAAAGAATTGAACTGGTCACATTGACTGTCTTGACTTTAGTTTATTGGCTTATAAATTAAAAATATTTCATTCGATCTAATCTTTTTATTATGTAAATTATGTCATTGGTAAATATTATATTCATGGCGACTTGGTCTTGAGCTTGCTCGAGAGTATTGGGCGTTTAAATAACGCTCATGGAACCAACAAGACCTGTCCATTCAAGTTATTATGTTGAAGGAAGATTTGCATGCATACCACTCAATTCCTATTTATTTACATGTCGAACACCTAAATTTTAATTTTTTACATATATGCCGCCTTACCGTGAAAGGTGTACTTCACTTTCTAAAGTTAAAATTGTTGAATTGTTTATGTAAAAAATAAAATTTAATTGTTGGATATGTAAATAAATAGGAATTTGGTGGCATGATTGTATATGCTTCTTTTTGGGAGTATGATAATGGTTAAACGGGTAAACATGTGAGCCGATGTGATTTTTAAATTATCGTCCATGCTTAAATTTCGAGTTTTTGATTTTAATCGGATGGCTATAAGTAAATGATTTAAAGTAACTATACAACAACAACAACAACAACAACAACAACAACAACAACAACAACAACAACAACAACAACAACAACAACAACAACAACAACAACAACAACAACAACAACAACAACAACAACAACAAAGCCTTAATCCCACTACATGGGGTCGGCTACATGAATCCTTTTTCTCCAATTGTGTCCTATTTAGTGTCATGTTTTCATTTAGTTCTAGTAAATTATGATCATTTTATATACAATAAGCCCAAGTTTTCCCAGGTCGAATCTAAAACATCTACTCTCCTAATCAAATCACGGGTCGAATCTAAAACATCTACTCCTAATCAAATCATTAGTTGGTCAACGTTTAATGTGACCAAACCATCTAAGACAACTTTCCATAATTTTGTACGTCACAAGAGCTACACCAACCCTATCACGGATATATTCATTTCGCATTTTGTCTCGTGTAAAGCCGCTCATCCACCTAATCGTTTTCATCTCGACAACGCTTAACTTATTATTATGCTTCTCTTTTAAAGGCCAACATTCAACGCCATAGAACATTG